CAGTTCAGAGTAAACCCGGGCTGACTCCTTCTCGGATTCTTGCAAGACACTAGAACTTGGGAGGGGCACGTCCAGTTTTGGGCTAAGGACTGCTCTGTTACAGGTGTTTGTTTCGTTCACCCACTCCTGTTTTTCCTTTTGTTCCCCCACTGCCTCCTCAAGAAACAGAAGTTCCAGATTTAACGTTCCCCTGTTTTGATCTTCAATATTATCTTCATTTTCTGAGCTGCCTAAACTTTCAAACTCTTCTGAATTCTCATCACAATCATTCTCTGAGCTGCAGCTTATCCATCCTTTGTCTTCCTCTTCCCTCTCTTCTATTCTGTTCCTCGCATAACGCGGGTTTGGGCGATCAAGACCAAGGCTTTGCTGCTCGTCACCGGCCTGTCTACATACCCAACTCAGAGTCCGATTACCCCCTGTCACACGTCTGTTCTGGTGTTTCAGGTGTTCGGCCGAACCCTCCTTAGACGATGATAGATGACAAGTTTCATCTATCATCGAGTTTTCACAAAACCACCCCACGTGATAACTTAAGTTGTCACGTGGGCCTCTTAAGGTACAACCAGGTTCCCCTCTTGGCTCACCTCTTTTTCTAGCCGGTTCAGTTTTTGTTACAGTCAGTTCAGAAAAGGATTTCTTAACGTAAACCGCTCGCCCTTTTCCCCTTCTGGCCACGTCAGCAAAGGAAGGGCCACCCCCGAAATTCAGTTTAGTTCCAAAGAAATTTGAATTGATAGCCTTAAAGGGAAGGCTTCGATACAAGTACCCTCCCTGTGACTGTTCCCCTTCCTCTTTCACTCTCGCATGCGCATCAGACTTCCCCTCCAATCCCTGAGAGCTATGTGTGCTCCAACCTGCGAGCTCCTCTCCGTCTCCTTCCTCTGTTTGTCTTCCCCACAGCGACGCCTCAGCTTCTGAGGCCGCCCAAACTCTGTACCAAGCACCATCTGAGTGCACTTCAAAGGAACGGGGCACATTTTCTGGTTTGATACCTGCGACTTTGAGTTCTACAGCACGCAAGCACCTCAAGTTCACCTCCAGCAGGACACCCCCCAAAGCTCTTGTGAGTCTCCTGAGAGTAGGTTCGTTCCAGAGATTAAAGGGTAGCCCTAGAAGCTTGATCAGAAGACTACCAGCTTTTGGCTCTACTTCGTTGCAAACTGGAATCCAGTTTTGAACCTGTACTAGTCTTCCTTCTACTTGGACGGTGCAAAGTTCAATTTCTTATTGCCAACATCTAAGATAGCTTTCTTCTCTGCAATGGGTAGCAGCATTGTTACTTCTTCTACTAGGCCCAGTTTCTCAGCAACTGCAACTAGTATCTTCGACCAGTCCCTTATCGCCTTATCTTCCATTAAGATCATCTTGTTTTCCCACTTGCCTCTCCCTTCTTCAAATGCTATTCTCCAGTGTTCAGTTGAACTAGCTACCGATATTTCCGGACTTTGATTCTTATGAGGCTCCGGGGAACAAGACTTTAAGGGGACATTTTTTTACTGGTTTGCTATCAGAAACTTCCACTGGAACTTTCCTCTCAATCTCCACAAGAAACGCCTGAAGACTGAGAGCAAAGGAAGCCCAGCCTTGCCCCTTTTTTCCTTCTGGAATACAAATCACTTGGCTTTTGTTAATGCCAAAGTGCTCTGTAACCGAAATAAACTACCCTCTTCCATTCCTTCTTAGAACAGACTCAAATCTTTTTCTCCGACAGATCACCGAGTTCCTCCATCCTTCTTCCCGGATGGAATTAACAGTTCCATCAACAAATCCTTTCAACCAAAGACACACTTCACCTGGTAGGAAGACTGTTGCCCTGCTGCCTTCTCTGATTTTCAAATGAGCCTCCCCCTTTGTCCTTCCCTGCTCGAATAGGAATATTTTCTCCCTACAATCATTTTCTTTTTCTTTTTTCTTTTTGAAAATCTTAGCCTTATCTTTCACTACTAACATTTCTTATACCTTTCCCCATCATTCTAGTCTCAAATTCTAGCTTTGAAAACTTTCATTACCCAGTTCTCTTCATTTTTTCCTTTCTTTTTACGAAGTCTCCTATTTTCAGCATTTGATAAGTGTTCATAGAAAAGTTGGCCATCCAAGTGGGACTTTATTAATACAATAACCAGATATTGTTTGTCCCCTATTTTCAGCATTTTACGAAGTCTCTATTTTCCTTTTGCAATGATACTAAAGGCATTTATCTTGTGGAACTTTATTAGTACAATAACCAGAATATGTCTGTTCAAGTGGAAATTTTACTAAAATTTTGAAAATTAAAATACTCTTTATTCCTTTTTTCTTTATTTATTTTATTGTTGTTAGTTGCTCTTTCACTTTTGTTGGGTACATTTTGAAAAATTACCTAGAAACCTGGGCCATGTTAAAATGAACAGATTGAGCATTCTAGCAAAGGCTCAAATGCGATTAGCAAGGCTAGATAGGCTGCGTCAAGCAGCGAAAATAGGGGTAGAAATGCGTTATGAGAAGGAGAGGGAGGAACTTGGCACAAAAGTGGAATCCCGAGTTCAGCAGGCAGAGGCAAACCGCATGCTTCTCCTGAATGCTTACAGACAGCGAAGAGCTGCAGAAAAGGAGAGAACAACACAGTCATTATTGCGGAAGATGGTCCAGGAGAGCAAGTATAAGGAATGTGTGCGTGCTGCAATTTCCCACAAGCGTGCAGCTGCTGAGGCAAAGCGATTAGGGTTTTTGGAAGCAGAGAAGACAAGGGCACGGGCAAGGGTGTTGCAAGTTCAAAGGGTAGCTAATTCTGTCTATCACCAACGAGAGGTTGAAAGAAGAATGTTGAAGGACAAGTTGGAAGATCGCCTCCAAAGGGTATGTGAACTCCAAAGTAAAATTTTGGTTGGAGATTTTTGTTTTTGTATGTTTATTTTTTGTTGATCTTTCTGTAGTCATTGTTTTCATTATTCTTCCTTAATTTCTTAATAAAAAATCTTTTGATGCATAGGCAAAAAGACGGAGGGCAGAATATTTGAGGCAGAGAGGAGGTTTCCATGGTTCTGTTCATGCCAATTGTAATAAGATGCACAAGAAAGGGGATTTGCTTTCAAGAAAATTGGCAAGGTATGTAAGTCTGTGCTCACCCATATAAGGTCCTCTGTCCTCCCCTCCAATGGACAAAAAAGGACAAAAAAAAAAAAAGAAGAAACATGTTGCTGCTGTTAATGGTTTTCTGAGCTTTGATGACTTATTGCTAGCTACAGTCCAAGGCACAAAGCCAAGGGTATTATTGTTCTAGGTTAACTAGTTCATGACCTATGGAAGTACAAGAAACAACTTGACAGTAATGGGCATTTAAACTGGAATTAGGTTCATTTTAGGAATAAGAAACAACTTGGCAAGTAACTTGTCTGTTACATTATAGCAAATCACATCAAATCTAATTGTACCTTCCCAAGATGTTTGTAGAGAAATGTAATGGAAAATGAGAATTCAAGGTTAAAGATTTATTGGATAGGAACTTGAAGAAATGTAATGGCGTTTGTCTTGATCATCACCTTCACCTCTTTTGTTTTTCTAAAGGGAATTTCTCTATTATTTTGTTCTAAAACTGCTGCTTTCATTCAGGTGCTGGAGACGGTTCCTGAAGTTGAAGAGAACTACATTTTCCTTGGCAAAAGCTTATAATACACTAGAAATTAATGAAAAATCTATTATGTTAATGCCATTTGAGCAGCTTGCTCTACAGATAGAGTCACCTTCTACCCTTCAGACCGTAAAAGCTCTACTTGACCGATTTGAAAGCTGGTTTACTGTTTCATGTGCTACTTCTAACCCATCCAGTTTTGATAACATTGATCACCTGCTCAGATGCCTTGGCTCCCCTGTACAAAGGTGTACACGTAATAACACATCCAAGGGCAAAGGGGCAAAGCAAGTGGTCTCCAATAAAGAAGCAGATACGAATCCAGTTCAATTGTCGAGGTATCCAGCGAGAGTGGTGCTCTGTGCTTACATGATTTTGGGTCATCCAGATGCAGTTTTCAGTGGGCAGGGGGAGCATGAGATTGCTCTTGCTGACTGTGCCAGAAAATTTGTTCAAGAATTTGAAATGTTGATCAAGATTGTATTAGATGGCCCCACAAAAGGTTCTCATGAGTCTGTCAGATCCCAGCTTGCAACTTTTGATGCAGCTTGGTGCTCTTACCTGTATCTCTTTGTGGTGTGGAAGGTCAAGGATGCTAAGCCACTAGAGGAGGATTTGGTGAGGGCTGCTTGCCAACTCGAACTCTCCATGATGCAAGCATGCAAGATGACTCCCGAAGGAGATAGTAGTGGTCTTACACATGATATGAAGGCTATTCAAAAGCAGGTTTTAATCTTAATTACTCTTTGCTTTTTGAAATGGTTGTTAATATCTTAATTGAATCCAGGGTATTTTTGAGCAGTCAGCAAGGATTGCCTACTTTCAATTACATTCATAGCATAGATTTAGACATGTAAACTATCATCATCATCCATGCCTCCATGGATTCTTAGCCATATGGGGTCAGCTACATGAATCCTGTTTTGCCAATCTATTCTATTTAAGGCCAACTGTTAAATTATTAGTGCTTAAATCATTTGGTACTACTATCCATATCCTTTTGGTCTACCCCTAGCTCTTCTAGCCCCTTCAACGTGTAAGAAATCACTTCTTCTAACTGGAGCAGCTGGTGGTCTTCTATGAATGTAAACTATAAGAGGAATAATTGTAGAACATGATTCCGTGATAGTAGTTAGTTGGCTAAGACAGAACAAAACAGGATCTCGGGTTTTCAGACATGCATTAAGGGAGATTAGACACTTCTGTGAGGAGATGAACACAGCTATAGTTGGATTTCAAGATTTGCCAACTTTTCAGTAGGTGGGTTAGCAAAAATAGGGCTTAATAGGAATTGATTTTCTTTTTGATAAATAACATGTATTCATTAAGAGAGAGAAAAATCTACTGCTCAACAAGAGCAGCAAGCCAAAAGGTACAAAGCAACTTCCTTTGACAAAGCTTCAGAAACAAAGTTATAGATTACAGCCTGGCCCTGGGCAACCCCAATCAAGTACATCCCTCCCCAGCCCTATTCTTGCCAAAGAGTCAGCAAACATGTTGGCACTTCTAGGAATCCAGTTGAATGAGATGTTCAAGTTGGTGCCTAGGAAGTGAGCCAATCTCACCAAAGGCCTAAAAGGCCAGGGGATCCGATCCTGATTCCTCATCCAGCAGATAATCGTTTAGCAATCATCCTCAACCTCCATGTTCTTTAATTCTTGCGACACCATTAATTGATAGGAATTAATTAACTAAATCTTTTGCACCTTCTCAACCTCCATACTCTTTTTAATCATAATGATAATAATATGTGTATTCCTTTTGTCTGTAACAGTAATTTTTCTATTACATAGTTATTATAAGCACTTTGATGACTAATTATACCTTGTGGCTGCTTCTTCTACTGCTAGGTCACAGAAGATAAAAGATTTCTAAGAGAAACAATCCAACGTCTTAGTGGTAATGCTGGAATCAAACGTTTGGAATGTGCTCTCTCAGACATGCGATCTAGATTTTTTGAAGCAAAGGAGAATGGGAGCCAGTCAGTGTCACCAATTATTTCATCCTTAGATTTTTCCAGTTCTTCAGCTGGTTCTTCCTTTTCTGTTTTAGGTAAAGGAAGTAAGCCAGTTGAGGCTGATAAGGGGCCCAACCATGTTGTTCACTCCTTGTTTGAGAATGTTTTCTCTTCTGCACCCAGAGAAAATTTGCCCACACCCTTTGGTGGTATTGTAAATGGTCAACCAGGTAGTTCTTCTGGAGAAAGTTTGTTCAGTGAGAATGAACTTCTTGTACATGAAATTGTCCATGAGCATCACCAAGCTTTTATTGATAACTTAAGTAATAAAGATCAGAGTGATGTCAAGGTTAGTTTATTTTTTCAAATTCATGCTCTCTTAATTTTTTCTCTATTTAGAATGACATTGTATTGATTAACCTTCTTTCTTTCTTTCTTTTTCTTTTTCTTTTGAGTGCATGTGTAGATCAAAATTTTTACCAGATTTGCCTGACTTCTGGGCAGGAAAAAATAAGAGAGACAATGGAGAAGGCTTTTTGGGATGGCATCACAGAATCTATGAAACAGGATAAGCCCAACTATAACCGGGTGGTTGAACTCATGAAAGAAGTGAGGGATGAACTGTGTGACATGGCTCCCCATACCTGGAGGCAAGAGATTCTTGAATCTATTGATCTTGATATTCTTTCAGAGGTAGCTCATGTTACATCTTATCCTGTCCATCTACATCTAATAATGTTGTTACTGCTTGAGTGATTGAATAACTTAAATATTTCTATTTTGAAGGCTCTGATGTCGGAAATTCAGGACATGGATTTTTTTAGAAAAATCCTGGAGTTTGCATTGACCACATTGCTGAAGCTTTCATCTCCAGCTGCTGAGGATGAGATGAAGGAGACCTACAAAAAGTTATTGAAAGAACTAAATGAGATCTCCCAATCTGGAGAGAAGTCATCATTTGTCATTGCGATGATTAAGGGTCTTCGCTTTGTTTTGGAGCAGATACAGGTTAGCTCCATTCTGTCTGTCTCTGTCTGTCTCACTGCCTTTTAATTGCCTATATTTTTTTTTTAAAACATGAATTCGAAAGCTGTGGATCTTGAACTATACCATCACAAGTTGGCTATATTTTTTAAAATACATTTGAGTCAGAAGGGCTGTCTCACTGGATACGTATTGAAACCTATTTAGTGATAAACTGACACAAAATCAAGTCAGATGGACAAATTTTATCAGGTCTTGGTCTCATTGGATAGGTAATTGAAACATATACAGTATCATATCTGACATCAGTATGCTAGCCATATCCTGATATCATAGGCTAGAAATTGTTTTGGCCTTTTGGATCAGCTTTTGAGTCTAAATTGGAGTCTGTAAGGGGGCATCCAAGTTCTTATAGTGGGTTTATAAATAGAGTCATTGTAATTGACAAATTAGAGATTGAAAATGAGAGTATTATGTGTTTTTTTTTTTGATAAATGAATATGATTTTATTAATGAAAAGATCAAGAGGTGAAATCATTACAGACTACCCATGGAGGAGCACGAGCTGTTACCTCTCCTGAAAAAGGAGAATTACATCAAACAAAAACAAAGATTACAGAACTGCGCAAAACAATTGTTCCCTTGATGCCCCTTGCTTAGCTAAACAATCCGCTAAGGTATTTGCTGTTCTGCCCACCCAATGAGGTGATATTCATGTTCCTTGAAAACCAATTAACTTTGCTCAAAAGGTCCCTATAGCACCATATAACTGAGCCTGGATTTGTCTACCATCCCACAACAACTTTAGAGTCTCCTTCAATTGCCAGATTCTGAACTCGTAGTTGGTCTGCTATCTGAATACCTTGTACAGATACTAATAGCTCATCCCTGTTAGACTCTCCTATTCCCACGGGGCCTGAGAACAATGCTAAGATGCTGCTGTCTTTATCTCTAAGCACCCCTCCTAGATCTAAAGGACCTGGGTTGCCTTGGCTACTACCAACCGAATTCAGGTTTACCCAACCTTTAGAAGGAGGCACCCACACTGCTGGTCAGCTGGTGTCCTGTCCTTCCTGGTATTACTGTTAGCCACAACTATCCAGTTCCTCCAAAGATTGTCTAAAGAAAAGGTGTGAAAGGAGTCCAGAGTTCTCAACCAGTGGACTGACCTAGTCAAAATGCATTCCTCTACAGCCTGAGTGCTTCTTTCCTTCTCTTGGAATAACCTCACATTTCTTCCTTCTCAAATTGTGCACAAAGCAGCTGCTCTAATACATCTCCACATAGTTCTACCATTTTTTTTGTAGGCCACACAAAAAAGGAAGGATCAAATAGCTGACTTACAACTATTGGTTAGATTCCACCTGCACCCAAACAAGGCAAAGATCCAACCCCAAATAGCAATAGAAAAAGAACAGGATAAATGTAAGTGGGAGCAATCCTTACCACTAGCCCTGCAAAATACAAACTAGTTAGGGGACAAACACACGAAAGGCCTTTTCTTCTATAAACAGTCCAAGGTATTGATCTTTCAATAAAACACCTCCCAACAGAAAATAATAATTTTATGTGGAACAGGTCTAGACCGGATCTCCTTAGCCAAAAACCCCAACTGTCCCAGGGAGAAGTTGAAGGGATGAGAGATCCATCCTATGGACGCCCAAAGATTGCGGAATAAGGGGCGAATTTCAAAAATTTTATCTCTCCCTTCAACTGGGAATCGTATTCCCTATTTAGAAAATCATATTTTCAAGGATCAATCTTGAACCA